AGAGATCAGCGTATTTGTACACCGAATCGGTCGGTGGCACATTGAGCAATTTGTTGATGAATCGGTCGAACTTCATCCATCGTCAGGGTGCGATGCTGATCCCGATAGATCAGACGATAGCAATGACTCCGGCGACCGGTTTTCGGATCAATGAATCGGTCAATTAAACGAACCTGGAAGGGGGAAGAAGGAGAAAGAATCAACTACACACGGATGACCCCCAAATAGAGAATCTGTCAGTTGAAATGCGGTCGGCAATTGGAGCAAGGGCTAGTGGTAGTTTTAGTAGCAGTAGTAAGTGTGAGCAGGTCTATCTAGAGACTATGACAATGAAAAACACGCAGGCAAATCTGTTCTCTCGGTTCAAATGATCGCGACCCATGCACAACTGGTGAAGCATGAATTGCTCAGTTACTCAAGATAGGTGAGTCCGAGTACTGAACCGAAAACGATAGGGAAGCTGTTTGTAGATCAATGGGAACGAAAACGAGTTTGTACTTCTGTTTGGTCTGGTAACTGTACAACATTTGGAACCGAGTCTAAGGAAGAGAGCTGTGATCAATCCAAGGCTGCTTAAGGGCATAGACAAGCGGGAAAGTTAGGTGGCAGCGATTGTAGGATTCAAACACGAGAACCCGAGTCGTGGTGACTGTGAAATATACCGCCGTTATCGACAATATTGATGCTGCAACCAACAGAATCAAATAAAATTCCTTTTGCTGTACATGCCACTCGGATGCATATAAATATGAAGTTTGCAAAGTACCAGGAAAAATCAATCGAAACAAAAAACATTGGCTTTAAGGTCGTGTGTTGGTGATGTTCAAGCAGTTTAAGTCACAATCACCGGCGGGCTTTGGGCTCTAGGGTCCGAGGTTCGAACCTAGTCACCATCACCCAACTTTAGTGGTAGGCAGGCTCAATATTATGTCTAACCTATAGGGGTTTTATACGGTTTGACAATATAAGTTCCGGGACATAGGTTGCCGGTTTCTATGAATGAACAGCGGGTCTTCGTGACCATGAGATTTTCCTCGTCTCCTATCCATCATACTAAGGTGTGTAATAAAAAATACCACCCAAATTTTTTACAGATGTCTCGGACAGACGAAAAATCGGTCGCATTCCTGTTACTGAAAATTTCGGCGAAAAAATCAGAGCATTAGAATTATTGTCTTTAAATATCAGGGAACTAACACACAAGACGTGTTCTCTGAAAACGGGTACTCTGAGATTGAAAGGTTGGCGGGGAAACTTACGAATTAAAATGAGTGATTAAACAAAGCTGCAGAAAACGATAGGAGAGAGGGGGGACACAAGCGAGGACGAATGACAGCTTATTGGCCTGCTGAATTATTTTCGAGAATACGAAATCACGTGACCACGGATGAACTTTCATGCAATCCAAGTTCGGACCGGGTTATGGTGATTTTGCCCAAGTAAATATGGTTCTTTTGAAGAAATCAGTTTTTATTCAAATGGATCAACGGAAAAGAACGTTTCGAACCGGGTCTTAGTTTTTAAGAGTTGCAACAACAACAACGACAACAGCGTAGCGACGTCGGTATGGGTTTTGAAACTTCAAAGTGCCAAATACTGTAGTCGTGCATTGCTTTATCCCATTAGCTAATGCGTTACAGCCGAGAGAATTCCCACGGAGGATTGAATGTGTTGATTGGGCAGTAACCATTTGCTTGGGAGTGGAAAACAAAACAAAAAAACATTGAGAAATCTAAAGACACTTGTGGGGAGACGACTGGTTTTTTTTCCCGGGGGCTGCTCGGGTCTACGACAAGGTGATCAACTTTATACGGTGACATCAACTGGGTGTGGGGCACAACAACCAATACAGAATTCGTCTGCTAGGACATGCAGTTCCAGACAGTCATGCTGTGAGAGTGAGAAGCGTGGTTAGATGATCGGGAATAGTAAACGATCTACGATGAGGTGGTCTTTGGAATGAATTTCAAAGATAGGATTGGGTTGCTCAAATACCGCTCACGAGTTCATTCTGGTTTGTGATTGGAGATCTGGGGTGTGCACATAGTTTGGCCTAATTGTTTTCTTTGCCTAGCTAACTAATTTCCAAATAAAGTATATCGTGAGACAAAAAGAAACTGAAATTCTGACGATTAAGCGTTGAAGTGATGAATGCGCAACAATGAAATAGAGCACAAAATCACGTGTTGAACTGATAATGATGGTGGTGGCTCGATGGCAACGTCACCAAATTATCACCCCCGGAGGACGTGGGTTCGAATCCAACCACCACCACCACTTGACTTTCCCATTTGTGTGTCATATGGCAGGCCTTTGGTTGGCCACTTCCCCCTTTTGAAAATTGTATCATTCCATATTCAATGATAAGTAAAAATGACAAAGAAAAAGGAATTAATGAAGCTGTTGGTCAGAAATTTATTTATTTATTTTATTTATTTATCCAAGGCAATCTACTTTTTTCAAGTTTCATTACTATTTTTAACAATTTAAAATTTTATTTGTTTACCCCACTTTTCCCTCCCCCTTCGGACTATTGCATAAATTCGTTCGAGGATGAAAATTTCACATGGAATGACGACTTTGTTTTATAAACTCGATTTGCTCCCAAGGCTCACAGTACACATTGTGTCACTAGTTTGGCGCCTGAACAGCGATTACTAGAAACAATTCGAACGCACTGAGTTGTAGACATATTGTGGAGCCTGAATGAGCAGCATTAGGTCCGGACTTATTTGATAAGCTCAACGGTCTCGTACACCACATATGACAACGTTCAAATCGTACATGTGATCCTCTGTACCACTCTGTTGTATGTGCTATATAGCACAAGGGAAATTATCGTTTTGTATCATCTGTTAAGCCGCAATCGTTGGTTGATATCTTTGAACTCCGTGCCTGATCGATAAACGAGGAACGAAGTGCGACGCGAGCAAGGATTGACAATGTGGGAATAATGCATGTGTGTGAATGAACAGATGTATGAAGGCCACTGTTGGCGACACAGCCATTTCACTAAGTATGTCTAAACGCGCAGTTTCTAGTCCCAAGGTACTCAACCTCAACGCGTAACACAACTTACCAGACTAAGCCTTTGGTGAACGTTTTCATTGATCCACACCACAGCGTATTTCCGTGAGCATTAACTTCCAATAGTCTCGACCGTCACTAATATGACCGAGGAAGTTTCTATCCGACAGTATGCGTAACGCATGCGAGGCCACCACAACCCGCAGAGGCGAAACAGTTGCGTCAGTTCGTGACTGCGATAATCTCACACCTCGGCATGGCTCATTTGATTGTGTGCGGGGCGAACTTGGTCGAAACAGTATACAGTGAACGTACGCGAGGGATGCAGTTTTGGCACACACAAACAGAGAAGCAGTGGCAGAACACAGTGTAACTGATCTAATCGAAGGGTAATTTTAAATTTAGGAAGAAAAAAAATTACGTGTGCTAAAGAAACGCCTGCTTCGGAGTTTGATGCTAGGTGAACAAACATATGGTCGGTGCAGCATCCGATAGGGTCTGAAAACCAGCTTGATTCTCATCAGTGCATCGTTCATTTGCGACAGAGAGAATCAACGCAGTGTGGTCCCGGTGAGAAGCTTTCGGCAGATGGTAATTGCGTTAATTCCTGTGTGATTTTTTTCCAACGGGATCTATCCTTATTCTAATAAATCACTAAGATAGCCAAGCCAAGAAGATAGCAGGTGAGGATACGAAGCAGTATGGAGTGAACTGATGAAGTCAGTGTGTGCAGTGTTTGGACGTACCTGCTCGATTAAATCCCCAGCCACCGAACGAACCAGGTCGTAGAAATCGCGTTCAACCGCCAACGAGATTGGATCCAGTTCGTTCTGATTGTCGGATTGTTCGGGAACAGTTGACTCGGGGGAATCACGGAGCCAGAAAGACAGATCCAATATACACTGCGGATAAACACTTACGGGCTGATCATAGTAAGAGAAAAAAGAAGTGTACAAGCGAAATTGAGTGAAGCCTATGAGCATTTACACATCCGTGCAAAGTATGGATAGAATGACGGGATAACCAGGCTTGGTGTNTAATACTGGCACAAAGGTAACTCGTCGTCCTGATAAGTGCATACGCATCATTGGAAACTTATGATGGGTCAGTGACATTCCTCCAAACTTAAGTAAATAATTACCTATTCAAAATGGAATCTATGATTTTGATAGGTAGTCTTTCAGACTTCATGTGCACACATACTCTTCAGTGTACCTACTCAACTGGTTAGAGTTTATCAACATATAGAGCGCGTTGACTGGACCGTTCTGGATCGAGAATCCGGGTCACTCGCATGGAAAGCGTGTTACCACCATGGCAAACGACTTACAGTGAGGATACGGTTGCTGTAGGGTTAAATGGAGCGAATTATTGTCTGAGCAAATATGTGTAATAAAAAAAGAAACGGCGGTGGTTCAGAAATGAGGCCATGAGAAGGGATTGAGACTGCACTGAATAAAACAAGCGTTGTGAAAAAAATTCCGGACGATTCGACTCGAAGTGATTTGCATACATGCCAATAGAAACCTGCTTACAGAATGAAACCACGCATATATTTGGAACAAAGGGGTCCATTTATCCAGTTAGACAAGAACGGGAAGAAGCTAAACGCTGCAAGAGGCCTGGCGTTCATTGGCTGTCATCGATCGCCAGCGTAAAAGTACTTGTGTAAAGATTGGAACAGGATGTAAAGGCAAACGATTTTTCCAACTCGGATGTATCATAACACACCGGTATTGCGTGACATTTACACTCCAACATTGTGTGTAAGAAATTCATGTACGTTGGGGTTGAACATCAATCACCCTTGCCCGTACCGCTTCCCACCCACCAGCGAGATCGGCAATGCATACTGCATTTTTTCAACAGAGAGCATCCATTGCGTCAACTCCGGAGAAGCTTTTGCCAAAGAACGAAATATCAAAGGAGCTTTCTTGATTACCACCTCAACGCTACGATAATTCTACAAAAGTGTGGAAAGTGAGATGACTGCTCGACTTTTTTTCCTTAAAAACAACAGATGGTCTTATTGCGTTTGCATTGAAAGCTTCGAAAAAGAGTATCACATTTTACCAAATGAACGTCAGTGTCGTTTCAGGCAACACGAATACGAATGCTTCAAAATGTTGCCCACTAAGTTGATTGAATCCGAAAACCTCAGTATGGTCGGGGGTGGGTGTCTCGAGTTGCGACTGGTCACCCTTCTCTTGCACCTCGTGAAATACTCCCACGTGTCCCAATAGCTTCTACTGAGGAAGCTCTGCTCATTGCCTTCACGTGGTGGAGATGTTTTTCCACCAAAGTGAGAGGACGAAAAGCCGACATCCTGGGCTATAACCGGATTGGTGGACCACAGGTAGTACACCTAGGAGAGTGGGAAAAAAACCCTGATTCCAAACCAACCAAGAAGAGGTGTACGAGCCACACTCACCTACACCTTCCTGGTCGTGGTAATGGTCACCGGTTCAATTGGGTATCGAGGTGTATGGGGCATCTCGGACATTTGACCCCGTACAATGAGCGCATGGTCCGACGAACTGAACACTGGCCCCCAATGAACTGCGGGTCAGGCTTTCGCCAGTCGAAGGCTCCGGTTGCAGGTTCCTCAGTAAAATTCACTTGCTTTGATTTGGGTATATATATGGTTAGGATCTAAATTAGTATCAGAGGATCGCTATCGGCTTTGTAGAAAAATCCAGTAGATAATTTAGGGTTAAAGAAACAATTCGTTTTTAGTAGTTCGCGGGTTACTGGGTTTCGGACTTAGTTTGGCTGTTCAAACTCTGGCCCTAAAGAAACCAGTGTGCTGTTCTGTAAGGATAACCCCTATCCAGTACTGATTCACTGTGTCAACCGCGCTCAGTCGGTGATCCCGAGAAAATCGCACCACCGTATGTATTGCAGTCAGTGTACACGCGCCTGCAACGTGCAATTCAGAGGGCAAACTGCACAATGAATAGCAAGCAGGCCTAATAAAATTAAAAACATGTGATTTCGGCCTTTCTAGTATGCCACGTTCTGGGGGACCATCTTTGGTCGATGACGATGTTGTTAAGACCATGTTAGAGCAAGATCCTTTTCTGACAAAATCGAAGATCGCAGAAAGCCTTAATTCAGCTCAGCAAACTATTTTGGGCCATGTTCGGAAAATAGGATTATGGCAGAAAAATTGGGATGATCGAGTCGCCATATGTACATCTATGCTTGCTCGGAACAAAATCGCGCCGTTCTTGAACCGGATGATAACTGGGGAGGATGAGTGGATTACGTACGAAAACATCGTATGGAAAAGCGCATATTGTGAACCCGGAAGACTTAACCCTTCCACCTCGAAACCGAATTTAACTTTGAATAAGAGAATATTGTGTATACGGTGGAACATTCAAGGACCAAAACATTAGGACGAACGAAAAGATCAATTCTGATAAGTATTGTCAGCAAAGGGATAATTTAAAGACAGCAGTCCAAGAAAAGAGGCCGGCCATGTTCAATAGGAAGAACATCATACTGCATCATGATAATGCCAGGCCACATGCTGATTTATGGACTTGTCAAAAAAAGCAGAACTAGAGTGGGAAATTATGTCGCATCCACCATATTTCCCGGACTTAGCACTCTCCTATTATTTCTTTTTTTGTCCTTACACAATTTTTTGAAGGGCAACAAATTCAAAAATGAAGAAGATATCAAACAAATACTGGTTCAACCTTTCGCATCAAAAGATAAATTTTTTTCAGAAATGGGAAATACAAACTGCCCTCACGCTGATAAGAAATCACTAATAACAACGGCTATAATATTATTCAATAAAGTTTACTGACCGTAAAAATTTGTATTTTGTTTTATTCCAAAAACGGAAAGAACTTTCCGGATACTTATTGCTACCCAGACGCATAAATACATGTATGCTATAGAAGAAACCGGATTTCGAAGCGCGGGAACAGATGTCCACCGAACAGTATAGCAACGTATACACACACACCTTGTAGATAATTTCCCGATGAATATCATCCGTTTCGAATTGGTGCAAAAATCCCGAGTCTTGAGTCCAGAAAAGACGAATATCCGGAATGTGATACAGCTGCATGGCCCATCGTTCCAGTCCCAGACCGAAAGCATATCCGACCTTGTTTGTGATGCCAGCTAAGCGGGCAAAATGATTGAAAAAAGCGCGTGAGGGGTCGTGGGCGTTTAAAAGTGCACAATCGAGATAGGGAAAGCGAGGGAACACTTTCCATTAAAAAGAAATGACGCATCTGTCTACCTGTCTGTTCGTCCGGGTGGATTGAAACCAAAAGCCGAGCTGGATTATAACATGTTTTGCTAGGCTACGGAATAAAGAATTTCCCGTTATTGCCTATATCGTAGGAGCAGTAGGTAGTCAAACGAGGTGGAGTTTGTTTTGGCCTCAGCACCTGGATAGTGCCTTGGGAAAGGCCGGCCTATTAGGGCTGAATTCTCAGTTGACTCTCTGGAGTGACTGAACAGTCTAAAGTACACACCTGTTTGACTACCAGTGATCGGGAAACGGAAGACCCCATGAATAAATTTTCCATAACCACAGACTTCGAATGCATATTTTTACAGAATGACAAACTTGATTTCCGCGGAGAGGGTAAGTTTGGCCATCGGGAAGATATGCCGGAAATGAAAAAGCTGAAATAGGAGAAACTTTATACGATAACGCCATTTTGATTACGTATTTGAGATTTTGAAGACCACGGGAGGGTAGAATAATGAAAGAACGCAAGTATTTAAAAAAATGCTACACAGGGTGACGGAAATAGTGCAATGGACGGGGATAAAAAATTATGCATAGGGGACCTCCATATTAGGCTGAGGGACAGAAAGAAGACATTTTACTCTCTCCTCTCTCTTGTGAGTAGTCATCACAGACGGATATTCCCATTTAAAAAAAAACAATTGTCTGCGACAGTGTCAAAAAAGGACAGGGTCAATGAGCTTGAATGTGCCACTAGCATGAGCAGTGTTTGGGAGACCTTCCTGGCTACCAAAGATTAGCGAACAGGATAAAGCATTGATGAGGGACAGAGCAGAATGCCAAACACTGACCCAAGGTTTCTCAAACACCTGGGATACCTGCGTTGTTTCTTGTTTAATCACTCGATAGACAAGCAGCGGTCTAGAAGAACGATACGAAGTGATTCTTTCTACGAGGATGTATTTGCACAAACAAGCGTAACCTAGAGTTTCCGTTTCGGTTTTTACACCCAATAACCATGCACTTTTGTGTGCCGGTTTTAGTTGCCCATTTGAATGAAAATGAGGAGAAGGACACGAAAGGTTGAAAGTAGGATCGAAGAGAAAATTTAGGATTTCATTGCACTAATTTTGCAGAGAAATCGACAAGATGCACGAGCGCCACTGTTTACGACCCCCAACCATATCACTCAGTGTCTCTAACCATCGGGTATGATCATCCCGAGGTCCCCATCTAGGGAGCCTAACGAGACCTATGTGACCCAGACTCCTGGTTAGGGTTTTCATACCCTCATTCCAGGTCTTAGCTTGACCATCCTTGACTTTCTTCCACCCACTACCTGCCTCGGCGAACGTCGCTCGCAGTGGCAACCTATCTGAGGACATGCGTAACACATGCCCCAACCAACGTAGTCTATGGAGGTAGACCACTCGCTCCAGTGGGTGACCGCGATTGCCTAAAACTCAGCACCTAACCTCAGCATTGTTCGTCCGGCTGCCCCACCACATTCGTGCAATGCTGCCTAGACAGCGA